TTTCTTGTGGATGATTAAGATATTTTTTATCTCAAGAAGGCTTGTGTGTTTGAGTGTTTGAATATTTTGTTCTAGCACGAGTTTTCCAAGATTTCAACAAAGTTGCTAAGTTGTTCTTCGAGTAGTATCTTTTATACTGGGGTTGTCTTCCTGTTGGAGGAGGAGGACAACTGCATTAAATGAGCGAATAGTTGAGTTGACCAGTAGGACCCATCAAAGTTGGCGAGTTACTATTTCGGGATAAGGTTATCCTGAAATATCCTGGAATGTCGGCCAATCATCAGCTTTTACTATTCAGGGTACGGGGTGCATTAAATGTGCATTTAATGCGCGTACTATAGCTTTTCCGTTGAAGTCTTCTAGCCGTTGAAGGAATCTTCCGTTGGTTTCACCGGTTGAAGTAGTTTCATGAAAATTCTCTAAGTGTCAGGCCTTCTGGTGTCTTCAGCAGAGAGTCTCCCAGAGAAGGTCTTGAGCACTTCTGTTGAGATAAGCTATCAGAGGGTCCTTAGGTCTTCTATCAAGGAGCGAACCAACAGAGAGTCTTGATAGATTCTGTCGAAGAGAAGTCCAACAGATAACCAGGGGAGGTCTTCTGCTAGCAGAGAGTCAGGGCTCTTCTGTCTGGATTAAGTCTATCCAAAGGTCTTCTGTCAGGATGTCTTCTGTCAGTCGACTATTCTAAGAAACTTTACAAGGGAAAATTTCTAATACAAAATACTAAAGAGGGGTACTCTAAAATCCTAATTAATATAGCATCATCAAAATCTAATTACAATTATCCTTACACTAACCTCAGCCCCGGACAAGCGACACTTAGTATGTGTCGATCTTAATACTAAGTGTCACTTGTCCGGGGCTGAGGTTACACTACATTTTTACTTTTTAGTACATAAGATAGATACTCATTCCTAAATTAGTGATTTAACCTTATATAACTTCAATGCACTTTAGGTGGGAATTTTGGAGCCAAAACTGTTATATAACTTCAATGCACTTTAGGTGGGAATTTTGGAGCCAAAACTGATGTCACTCTGTTACTTTATATTATATAAAGATAAAGATAAAGATATGGTATATATAATATTTTGTTATGGAATGTCCATGTATATAATACTTAATCATGGTTCTAATGTTTTGACATGATGCATACGGAGTAAATAAATAATGAGTCACACATATACTACACGTTCAACGACCCAAGTTCTTACTCAAATTGATAAATTTGGAGAATCCTTATTTCAATGGACATCAATATATTATATTGGATAACTATTATTTTTAATAATAATAATAATAATAACAACAACACCAAAACAAAATGGATGAAACTTTATTAGTAGTTATGTAACTTATATTTAATACTACCTTTGTTTCACTAAGATTGTGACATGGGAAAATGGTGCACAATTTGTATTTATGTAGTTGATATATTCATTTATATAATATAAAGTAGCAAAGTTGCTACAATTTTTGAAGACAAAATTCCCACCAAATTTTGGAGCAAAAGTGTAAAAAAAAACAATATAAAGAGTAACGAATTTTGCCATATGTAACTTCATGAGAAATAGTAAAGCAAATAATCCCTATCATTATCTTTATCTTAATATATTATATAAAGTAGCATAATTGACACATATTTTGGAGGCAAAATTGGTGTTATTAAAAAATGGAAATAATAGTTGATCATAAAATGATATTCCCTCTAATACATCTCATCCAATGATCATATTAAAGAAAGAGAAAAGTAGATGTACATAAATATGAACCGGCTATTATCATGTTATTCTACTCATAAATACTTTTATCGTGATTGTACCTTATATATGTATACTTTAAAAATGAGAGCTTCTTAAATTATATACAATTCAAAAAAAGAACCCCTAATTTTTTTAATCCATGTAATGCCTAGAATAGAGTAATACTCGGTGATTGGGTAGTTATACTTAATTTATAGAAATGTATGATTTTTGTTAATACATTTTTTTTTTGTTAAAAATATGGAACTCTTTAAAAGGCTAAAATGTTAAATTCACCAAATAACTACTAATAGCTATGTACGGAGTAAAATATATAGATTTGTGTATAGTTTCACGACATCTTTATATTTATTTTTATATTTATATAATACTTCATTTGTTTTTAAATAAGTGTAACAGTCTACTTTTCACGTTTGTCGATGTAGAACTTTGATCATTAATATATAGTATTCTCTATTAGAAAGAAAGTAATAAAAAATTGAAAGTTTACAATGATCAGAACAAATTTACAAAATAATGTATAAAAATATTAATATATATAGCGTAATCAAAGTAATAGTGGAAAATTCAACATGTTGCGCGCTTATTTAAGAACCGAGGAAATATAAGGTAACAAAGTTGGGGTAGCTATATATTGGAGTGAAAAATCCCACCCAAAGTAAGAGCATAAGAAGGAATTAATGTGAAGTTAATGTAAAATAATGCTAAAATATGTATCCCGCCCAAGAGTGATCGATACTCGAAAGTAATTCACAATGGAGCATTTATTGCCCTCTTATGCATGTATTGAACTATTGATTGGTTAAATAATACCGTACTCAATAAAGATGTTTATGTTGGAGATGAAAAGGAACATAAATGAATTAATGTGAAATGCTGGAATATAAATGCATCCTGCTCATGAAAGAGTAATGAATAAAATCTCATGCATATTAAAAGATATTATGGACTGATTTTATAGATTTGCTGTTAATTTATTGAAAGAGTACACTCATATCATATATAGATACCACAAACGTTGAAAGAGAATTTCAACACATTTAGAATAAGAAAATTAATTATTAATTTATCATTTCACTCTTATAATGCAAATCTAATCAAAGGAATAAAGAATATAAGGAGTAGTCAATAGTCTAAAGTGTATGGAATCTCGCTTAAGAAATTCACAGAGTAATTTAGTTGTCCCGTCTAAGATATTCAATGATCAATTTAGTTGTCTACCCAAACATCTATCGTAAATTTGATGAATTTAAAAGTTTCTCAGATTTTGGTCCTCAAAATAGGAGATGAAAATATTGAGAATGTTAGATACGGGGAGGTCTTCATTCATATATACATGATGATATGCTTATTATCATTTCCGATGATCATATTGCTCCAATTGTTGCTAGCACTTATCCATCCTTAATTCTGGATAAAATTGTCGATCCGTCATATTTTCAGCAACGAGCTATTTTGACACCGACAAATGATGTTATAGATAATATCAATAATTATATGATTTTATTGGATCCTAGAGAAATGAAGACATATTTGAGTTTTGACAGCTCATGCTCGCTTGAAGGCAACATTAGCGCATATCTGATGAAGTGCATACTCAAGAGTTTTTGAACACTATTTTGCATCAGGGATACAGAACCATAAATTGGGACTAAAGGTTTGGTGTTCCTATTACTACTCTTTGAAATAAATGTATTTTATAGGAGAAGGTTAAATCCGACAAAAATATTGGTCAATTTTTTTTTATTTCACAGCTATCATTGGTCCCTTCAAATAGCATAATTCCTTGCAAATTTCTACGCGGACAATTTTCAATCGTTGTTTCATTTGTCATGTTCAAATAGGCAAATATTTTCCGAAATCTGTTTTTGTACATAGCCAATTGTATGTTGTCATGTCAAGGGTCACCTCAATGAGTGAGATGGAGATTCTTATATGTGATGATGATGGTCGTAATATCAACACCACTAATAATAGTCTGCAAAGAAGTTTTTAAAATTTATGAAACTTTTTTGAACATTGTCAACATATATGATTGTTCTATTTTGTTAGGACATTTTTATTGTCTTCAATTTTATTGTATTTGTTTGTATTAGGTTTAAATTTTGGGCTTTTACAGCTACTAATATAGGCTCATATTGTAATGAGGCGTTCGATTAACCTCGCCTATATAAAGGCCCCCCCGTACGTTAATCGTACATACTAACGATCAGGAGCCGCACCAATATTCATTATCAAAGCCCTAATATTATCGAAGCGATAGATTAGATCGTACAACTTCTAAGAATATTCTGTAGTGTTATCGTTGATCATTATCAAGTGTTCAATAGAAGTTGTTTTTAATCTGATTATATCATTGGGTTCAAACATATTTATCATGTATAACGTTTCATGACACCAACTAATAATTATACTATCAAGTTATTAATTGTCACGTATAACTTATTGTTATACATTAATATCTTTTATTTCTATTTTACTTTGCAATTTATCATACGATCAAAAATTTTATTTTCTTACTGCTACTACTACGTATATAATAAAAAATAAATCATATAAATCCTATTGTCTTTTTTATTTTACAAAATTGCACATTATGTACTATCGTAAAACATAATTTTAATTAAATAAGTTATGAGCTATACAATTCTAGATAGAGAAATTACACAAAATAGGACTAAAAACGTTTGTATATTCCAACAGCTCAAATAAGTTATGAGCTATACAATTCTAGATAGAGAAATTACTGCCATGTTTTGGCAGTATCAGACTTTAAATATGACAATATTTTCCAAACTTGGCGGTTATTACTCTTATTTTGGGAATAAAAACATGAGTCATATTTTGGATTTTTCAAACTTTTTTATTCCTATTTCGGGAATTTTCCTACTTCGTCTAGTACATTTATAATATCATAGTTAAAAAATCACTAATCTCGGTATACTATATAACCTTTAAAAATTCCTCTACATTTTTCAAAATATATTCCTATTATTTTATTTAATTATTGTTCGAATCTTTTTCAAACCGACCAAAAAAGTGATAAAAATCAAACAGAAACTCATATGGTAGCTTATTACTTTATATAAAAGACAACTCTACAGAGTTATTTGTGGACCCCAATTTTTCAAAAGAACTCGTCTAGGGACAGACAACTAGTCTGGCCTGTATGTACGCAAAAAGTGTAAGACCCCGATTTTTCAAAAGAACTACGCTGAACAATAATAAAGTTTCCAACAAAACGAGACAAAAGAAGTAATCCATTGCTCATGTAAGATAGGGTCAACCCCTTTTTCTGTCATTTGTGAGTGGTGCAGCTCTGAGATGGCCATTAATGGAATTATATTTGGTAAACGTTCTGAAAGGCCAGACAACAGCATACCCCTGTTGATATCTTCGATGATCCTCTTACATCGTCTCCTCCATATTTCAATAACAACCCTCCCATCCGTTCACATTCAATTCCACATGCCGCCCGCCCATATTACACCAATCGCCACCACTCTCTTCTCGTCCATGCAATTACCCAAACACTTCTTTAGTTCATTTCCTCTTCACCTCTGCAGACAAGGCCAAAGCTACCTTCCTCTGTCTCTCTTTTACTCTACTTACAGAGTAGTAAGGGAAAGAGTTGCTGTCACTGTTCTGTTTCGAGCAGTAAGGGAAAGGGTATAAAATGACCACCGCCGCCGCCGACGGAGGTGGTTTTTTGAAGTCTTTTTCTGTGTGTGCGGCGGTTGCAGTGCTGCTGACTGCGTTTGTAGTCTGTCAGGCGGACGGAAGAAGCTCGGGTACGACTTTGGGGATTCTTTTGGAGGTGAAAAGATCGTTTCTTGATGACCCGGAAGGAGTCTTGAAGGAGGGGTGGTCGGAGATGAACCGGAGCTACTGTTCATGGCGGGGTGTCTCGTGTGGAGGAGCTGGTCGGAAGGCGGTGGTGGGTCTGAACCTATCTGACTCGTCGCTCGGCGGGTCAATCTCGCCTGCACTCAGTCTCTTGACTCACCTGCTCCACCTTGATCTTTCTTCTAACCGCCTCTCAGGCCCCATTCCACCTGCTCTCTCCAACCTTTCATCTCTGGAGTCGTTGCTTCTCTTCTCCAACCGAATTGGTGGGCCCATCCCTGCCGAGCTCGGGCTGCTCAGTAATCTGCAAGTGCTCAGACTCGGCGACAATGGCGGCATTACTGGCCCGATTCCGGCTTCTTTGGGCAACCTTAAAAGCATTGTCACCCTTGGACTGGCCTCATGTAACCTCACCGGTCTCATTCCGCCTGAACTCGGAAGGCTAACTCAGCTCCAGAATCTCAATTTGCAGCAGAATCATCTGGAAGGGCCTTTACCGCCAGAGATTTCCAGTATATCTCACCTTACTGCGTTTAGTGCCGCCATGAACGGCCTTAACGGCTCCATTCCTGAAGAACTTGTGGCCTTAAAAAATCTCCAGATACTTAATCTTGCCAATAACACACTCACTGGCGAGATTCCGAGTCAGCTCGGGGAAATGGGCAGCTTAACTTATCTCAACCTTCTCGGGAATCGTCTTAGTGGTTCAATCCCAAAGTCACTGGGGAATATGAATAGTCTTCAGAGCTTGGATTTGTCTGGAAACCAGCTCACTGGTGGAATTCCGGGAGAACTAGGCGGTTTGAGTAGACTCGAATTCTTGGTGCTGACCAGCAATGATCTTTCGGGTGTCATTCCAGAGACTATCTGCTACAATGCCAGTAACTTGAAGCACTTGATGCTCTCACAAACAAATATATCTGGTGAGATCCCACCGGGGTTAAGCCAGTGTCGGGCACTTCAACAGCTAGATTTGTCAAACAATACGATCAGTGGATCCATCCCGGTGGAGCTTTACGAGCTGACTGAGTTAACTGATCTTGTGCTTAACAATAACAGCTTGGACGGTATGGTTTCCCCGTTTGTAGGAAATCTTACCAATCTTAAGACATTGTCCTTATTTCATAACAATTTAGGTGGAGAATTGCCAAGGGAAATAGGAATGCTTGGGAATCTTGAGGTTCTGTTTCTCTACGAGAATCGCTTCACCGGAGCTATCCCTATGGAGATCGGAAACTGTTCAAACTTGGAATTCATTGATTTTTATGGAAACCAGTTCACTGGACAAATTCCCCTTACCATGGGGAGGCTAAAGAGGCTGAGTTTCCTACACCTGAGAGAGAATGATCTCTCTGGTGAGATTCCCTCCAGTTTGGGTAACTGCCACCAACTAGATACTCTTGACTTGGCGGATAACCGCCTTTCGGGTGGCATTCCTCCCACTTTCAGTTATCTTCGAGCTCTCACTTTGCTGATGCTCTACAACAATTCTCTTGTAGGGAGTATTCCGGAGGATTTGAGAAACATCGCAAATCTAACAAGAATCAATCTTTCGAATAACAAATTGAGTGGCAGTCTTGATCCTATGTGCACCTCCCGTGCTTTCCTTTCTTTTGATGTCACAAACAATGCGTTTGATCAAGAAATTCCATCCAACTTAGGGAATTCACCCAATCTTGATAGACTAAGGTTGGGGGACAACAGATTAGTAGGAAATATCCCGTGGACTTTCGGATTTATCCGTGAATTATCACTTTTAGATATCTCGGGAAATAAACTCAGTGGTTTTATCCCTCCGCAACTATCGCTTTGCCGAAAGTTGGCCCATCTTGATCTCAACAATAATCTTTTATATGGACCAATCCCAATTTGGCTTGGAAGTTTGCCTCTACTTGGTGAACTTAAGCTGTCTGCCAATCGGTTTTCCGGACCTCTTCCTCTAGAGCTATTCAACTGCTCTAACCTTCTGGTTTTGTCTCTAGAAAAGAATTTACTGAATGGAACTCTCCCATCTGAAATTGGAAACCTGAACTCCCTCAATGTACTCAACCTTGATGGTAACAGCTTCTCTGGTTCAATACCTTCAATGATTGGTGGCTTGAGCAAGCTCTATGAGCTCCGATTATCGCGAAACAACTTCACAGGTGAAATTCCAAAAGAGGTCGGCCAACTGAAGAATCTCCAAAGCATCCTTGATTTCAGTTACAACAACCTCAGCGGCCACATCCCACCATCGATCGCAACTCTCTCTAAACTTGAACAGCTTGATCTGTCACACAATGATCTTGAAGGTGAGATTCCCCCTCAAGTAGCTAAAATGAGCAGTTTAGGCAGACTGAATCTATCTTATAACAAACTTCAAGGGAAATTGGACGAGCGATATGCACACTGGCCGGTTGACTCATTCCTTGGAAACTCACTACTTTGTGGTAGTCCCTTGGGTTTAAAGTGCGGAAATATAGGGTTGAGGAAGAATCCAGAGTCACGCCTAAGTAACACAATGGTGGTGATCTCAGCCATATTGGCTACACTTGGGATCATTCTTCTCTTACTTGGAGCTGCCCTCTTCTTCAAAAGGGAAACAAACAGGAGAAAAGAAGAGAAATGTGCATCTTCTTCTGGTTCTTCTTCCCGTGCACAGAAGAAACCACTCTTTTCAAATACTTCTAAAAAGCGGGATATCAGATGGGATGATATAATGGAAGCAACCAATAATTTAAGCGACGAGTTCATCATAGGGTCTGGGGGATCTGGAACAGTCTACAAAGCTGAGCTGTTCAATGGAGAAACAGTTGCAATCAAGAGAATACCAAGGAAGGATGACCTCTTTCTGGACAAAAGTTTTGCCAGAGAGTTGAAGACGCTGTGGAGGATAAGGCATAGGCATCTGGTGAGGTTAGTGGGATATTGTAGCAACAAAGGGAAGGATTCTAACATGTTGATCTATGAGTATATGGAGAATGGCAGCCTGTGGGATTGGCTGCATAATCAACCAGCTGGTAATAAGAGCAAGAGCAAGAAGTGCCTCCTTGATTGGGAAGCAAGGATGAAGATAGTAATGGGATTAGCGCAAGCAGTTGAATATCTCCATCATGACTGTGTGCCTAAGATCATCCATAGAGATATCAAATCAAGTAACATTCTGCTCGACTCAAACATGGAAGCACATTTAGGGGATTTCGGGCTCGCCAAAGCCATTACCAATGACTCCCTGACCACAGAATCGAACTCCTGGTTTGCTGGCTCCTATGGCTATATGGCACCAGGTATGAAAATGTTTCAGTACTCATTCCTTTTTTAACAGACATTTTGACTTGTTATTTTTATATTTTCATCATGTGTTATTGAATGGTCATAGAATTCAGGATGGTTCATACAAGTCACTCAATTGAACCTAAAGTCTAAAGACAACTAGACAACCACAATGCAAGATTGAATCTAATATATTTAGTAGTTCAACACAATGTCTTATTATATACTAGTAAGACATTATTTTCTCTTGTCTGATACTCCGTATAAGACTCTAGTCCTCGCATAGTGAAAAGCCAGGTCATTTGGAATCAACCTATTGTTCTCTTATGATTTGACTCTCCTTGAAACTAAAGCTAGAAAGCTCTGATTAAAAGACACCACATGCCACCATAAGTTTTCAACGAGGCTGTTAACATTCATGGGTTGTTAAATTATATTCATCTAGTTGGATCCTCGATTGTGCCTCTTAAAACACTGTGGGCAGATTGATTGGGCCCCATGCCTCTGTGCTGGCCTTCAGAAATGATCTAGTATTGCTCTGATATCACAGTAGAGTTCAAGACTAGTTTAGGGCCACTCAACTGGACCAACAGAGAATAAAATATTTTATCCAACCTATTTGTTAGTTCTATCCCAAAATCATAGTAATTGATTATCTTCTCTTTAACACATAACATAACAAAGTTACTGATGCTTTTCCAGAGTATGCGTATTCATTGAAAGCAACAGAAAAGATTGATGTGTACAGCATGGGGATTGTGATGATGGAGATTGTGAGTGGAAGGATGCCAACTGATGGGAGTTTTGGGGAACACGTCGACATGGTGAGATGGGTGGAGTCACGCATGGAGGAGATGCAGCACGGATCAACTGCTCGTGAGGAGCTTATTGACCCATTGCTAAAACCATTGTTGCCCTATGAAGAAAGTTGCGCATTCCAGGTGCTGGAAATTGCGCTACGATGCACAAAAACTGCACCAGCTGAACGTCCACCGTCACGCCAAGTGTGTGATCTGTTAAGGCCTGTTTCTAAACAAGACAAGGCTGTTGCTGTTCACTTTGATAAATCAAGAAGCCATAGTTCCTTACCCTAGTCTCTGAAACCTTTTCTCTCTGCCATGTCGGTCTAAAGAGGAAGGGGTAAGATCACCACATTAATAAATTCCAAACTCAGTCATTTTTAGCCTAACATAACATTCACTGCTCATCAAATGATTTAAGTCATTTTTCGGTTAGCAATGTGAACTGCATTCAGCTAGATACATACAATGAGCTTATTAATTAGGTACATTAACAACACCTGCAGTTATCCTGATCAGATAAATTGCCAACATGAAATTCAAGAGTTGGATTTAATCCTTTTCTAGTTCCATCTTTTTGAAATATTTCCAAAAACCTGATGAAAACCATAAAATTTGGCAACCCCTAATCAATTTATTTTAGTATCTACAAATTTATAAAATTAGGGTTTAGAAATACAACCCTTCATCAATTTTGCATGTGTGCAAGAGATGCATAACTATACTGATGATATAGGCCACATGAAACGATGGAACCATTAAAGATGAGTACTTTTCATCTAAACCTTAACGATGGAACCATTAAAGATGAGTACTTTTCATCTAAACCTTAACGATGGAACCATTAAAGATGAGTACTTTTCATCTAAACCTTTCTTTCCATTCTAGCTTCGGACTTTTTCTTCTTATTTGCCCCCAGTTTGTGCACCAAGTCATCTATGGAAATAAAAAAGTTCAATGCAGTGATGCACCAACAAAAAGGATGAAGCATTCAAAAAGTACAGCACGTAGTATAAAATACACCATAAAATTCCTTGGGTCTAATTTTCCTTTCCAGTACATCTCTACTTTTTCTTTCTTTCTTTACACAATATACTCTGCCTTCATGTTACATGTTCATTTGTGTTGAAAGTTTTAGCAACCCGGTTTGATCCGAACAAGTTTAATCAGATCTAGTTTGATTTTTTAATATGTTTTATACTAGTATGTTGAGTGCGGTGATAAGTCTGTATTACATCCTGCATTTGATGCGTGTTGGAGGAAGTTTTTGACGGTTTTCCCTAGCTTGAAGGGTTGTAAGTCTCAATTTTAGCTCAAGTCACGTTAGCTGGATGATGGATCGAGTTTTGGTATTTTTAGAGTTGAAATCAGGTCTTTTAGGGCCCGGTATCGGCGCTTGAGAAATGATCGGGACGATTTAAGAAGCATTCGAGAGTGAATTCAGAGTTTCGAAGGCCACCGGGTGGTTCACGATAAAGATTTGATGAAGAAAGAGCTTTTGAATTGATCGCGGGACCAACGGGGACTTGAAGTGAAAGAAACCGAAGAAATCGGAAGAAAAAGGGCCACACACGGTCGTGCGTACAGGAACGCACGCATGCGTGAGTGGCAGTAGTGGCCAAGAATTTTGAAGACCGGCGCATGGTCGTGTGTCCGGGTACGCACGCCGTGCGTCCGAGGCAAGAAGCCGGAAAACCCACTGGCAGTCACGCACGACCGTGCGTGGGGGACGCACACGTGCGTGGCACGTTTTGACAAGCATGTCTGTCGGACGTACGGACGCCACGCACGCCGTGCGTGGTTGCCGTGCGTGCCCCGTTTCAGTCCTAATTCAACCCGAATTCATTGTTTTCTATAAATAAGGTTGCCATTTACCTGTTTAGAGGGGATTCAATTTAGAAAGAAGCCTAAGGACGAATTTTGAGAGCTTTTCAGCCTTGTTCTTCAATTCTTTGAGATTCTTTGTAAGTTCCTACGTTTTAATTAATGACAATTATTTCTATTCTTTCCCAATTATATTGATTCTTCAATTATGAGTCGGGAGTAGTTTTAATTAGGGATTTGGGATTGATAAAGGTGTTAATCGCGATGTATGGCTAGTTTTTTGATGGATTAGTTGCATGAATGTCTTTTAATTTGTGTTTGAATAATTTAACTGATATCTTTTGTAACCTGGAACCACGACTAGAATTACAATTACTTGTAGAATGAATTAAGAGAGATGTAGTTTATTACGAGACACATTCAAACACACTTAATCATTCGCTAAGAGATTAGTAGCGATTAAGGGGCCGTAAACTCGATCGTCTTGGCAATAATTTAGGATCCTGTCGCATGAGAGATCAGCCTGGTCCCCTAAATTATTGTACTCTACGCCGGGAGAGCGGTAAGAACTTAGCTAGGCTCAATTAAATTAATATCATGTGATTAAGCCTGATCAGTCAGAAATCTGATTACCCCGGAATCAATCCCTGCTCCCTTCGTCGTTAATTAGAGAGAAACCTTTTATTTTAATCGTTCATTGGCATTAGTTTAATTTCAATTCAACCAATCAATCTCGCACGACACATTTATTCTATTTATTTTTTATCGCTGAATTTAATTAATACTTGATTCCCTTTTTCCGTCCATGTGGATACGATACTCGTACTTGCACCACTATTCTAGAATCTATTTTAAGTGCGAGAAAACTCACATCAGTTTTTGGCGTCGTTGCTGGGGATCCCAATTGAAAGAGTACTTCGGGTAGTGCTCAATTTCGGCTATGTAATAAATACATATTGCTGGGGATCCAACAAACTCACATCAGATTATATCTGCTGTGTAGTAAATACCAATTTTGTTTATTGTTATTTATATTGACTAGATTTGGGAAAAATTGTGTGATTACATTAAATTAAGTGACTTTGTTTTTATGCTACAATATAATATTTACATGTACATCTATTTGCAGTCTAGAATGCAAAGGGGTACCTATGAGTGTGAGTATTATGTTATGAGGCATATAGAGATTATAATATCTGCAGTCGTTGTTGATTCATGGATTGAGGTGATGAAATTTTAGATTTGTGCTTCATCAAATTTAGGGGGTGTTTGGATCCGATTCTTTAAACTGCTTCTGCTCCTGCAGGGAGCAGAAGCAGAAGTTGGAGTGTTTGGGTGAAAATGCAAAAGTGATTCTGGTGCTCTAATTTACTCCTAGAATCAATTTTTTTAGAAGCTGGGGGGTACCAACTTCTGAAAACTGATTCTGATTCTGCTTCTGCTTTAAAAAAGAAGCAGAAGCAGAATTAGTTCCAAACACCCCTTATACTTATTACGCTTGTATTATGTTTTTTACGACAAAGTATTACTTCTATTTTTCATTTTCATATTTTATTGAATGTGTTTCTATTTTTATTTTTGATTTGCAGACATTCAATGTTTAAGAGTCATTTAGTCCACAAGACATTACCGAGACAAGAGAGCATTGTGCGTCATTTGTTTGTGACACCACAAGCAGTACGGGTTGCTATTAACAAATATGGTTCTGTTTTGATGTCTAGAATGAATAGTGTTGGTTTCATGTGAAACTTTGTACTTTTGACTTGCAAGAACTTGTGAAACTTTTGTAGTTTTTGCTTGCATGAACTTGTGAAACTTTCCATTTTTGGCTTGGATTGATTGGTGTTAGTACTATGTAGAACACTGTATTTTGCTACAATTATCAATATATTTACCATAATTCTCATTTAATGATTTCATTATATTGATACCATATATATAAAAATATTATAGTATGCATAATCTATTGGATATATGGTTTAACCCATATAAAAAAGATTTTATATAGGGTATTATTGGACTGACACAGAAAACATTCGATAACGGTTAAATTTGATAATGGTTTAACCCATATAAAAATGATTTTATATGGGGTAATACTGGACTGACACGGAAAACATTCCATAACGGTTACATTTGTAATCGTTATAAAACACATTCTATAACGGGCACGACTACCCGACACGAAAAGTGCCCCGCTTTCTATGTCGCTGGCTGCTATGTCGTTACAGGAACTGACATAAAAAGTGCTTTTTAACTCATATAGAAAGTGTTTTCTACACTAGTGAACTTCATTTACAACGCATTAATTAAAAGTTACAGATTAACCATAAATTCACAAATGTTTCTGATTTCACTCCGAACTCGTGTTGAATTTGATGCGATCATATCTTGCTCTATTTTGTCGGTCTTTAGGGTTAATTAGACTCAGCGATCTGTTTTTAGTTTTTTCGTAGGAGTTTTTTCGCTAACCTTCCAAGTCAGATTTGTTTATGCATACACGCTCTAAGAGGGGAGAACCACTAATCCCTCTTAATCTTGAGAATGAAAAGCCCGCTAGACAGAAGCATGGAAGAGATTCAAGGTGTTGAGAAGAGCTTGCCCTCAGGGCAATTTGAGTGATTGCGAGGTTCTTTTCTACTTCTATAGCGGACTCAAAAATGAAGGGAAGATGATGCTGGATGCTTCGGGTGGCGGAGCTTTTCCTCACTTACCATCTGAGGGTGGGGAAGAACTAGTGGAGAAGATTGTTTCGAATAATGCATCATGGTACAGCTCTCGGGACACACCTCACCAAAAAGCTCCGGGCCTGTACGAAATCAGTGATAATTCTGCCCTTTCTGCAAGGGTAAATACGTTGACCAGCATGTTTCAGAAGCTCACCACTAGCATGGAGGATATGAGAAAGAAGATGGAACTTGCTCTCTCGGTGTCCAGTGTGAACATGGTAGCCCCCGGTCCTATTAGTCCTTCTTGTACTAACTGTGGGAGACTCCATTGGCCGCATGAATGCAATATGATGGTACACTCGGTAGCCCCTGAAGTGGAGCAAGTTGACGCGATGTACTTGCAGAGGTAGGGCTACTATAACCAGCCCTACGGCCAGCAATAACAGTTCAAGAACTATAATCAGTCCCAATCTCAACCGCAAGCACAACACTTCCAACCACAAAGGAATGAGACTGAGCATAAATTTTCTAGCTTGGAGAAGACACTAGAGCAATTCATTCAAGTGACTGCGGCTAGAGATCAATCAACACAGACGAGTATTCAAGAAATAAAGTCAAGTATTCGAGACATGCAAATTCAGTTGGGACAGCTCACAAAAGCCGTATCTAAGAGGCCTAGGGGATCGCTCCCGAGCAACACCAAACACAATCCAAGAGAGTAAGTTCACGCAATCACAATGAGGAGTGAACGAGATCTAGAGCCTACTGCCACGGAGAAGAAAGTTGAAGAAGTTGAACCTATTGCAGTTGTTCTTGAGGAAAAGAAGGAAGAAGAAAAGAAGGAGGAGGGGGGCGCAGTCCCAAAGCAACCCATTCCAGTCAAAGCTTACAACCCCCATACCCGCAACGCTTAAAGGGGAAGAGTAACACTGAGGACTTCAACAAGTTTTTGAGCCTCTTTAAACATGTTCAAGTAAACATACCATTCATGGAGGCGCTGCAACAAATGCTGAGTTACACAAAGTTTATGAAAGAGCTCCTCTCTAACAAAAGAAAGTGGGGAG